CAGAGGAGCCTTGCCTTGTCTCCATTTTTCTCCTGTGGTCAGCATGCCTGGCTCTCTAGAACTTGGGCCCACATTTAGTCTTCTGAGTAGTCGGGGACGGTACAGATACTGATCCAGTTATGCCCCCTGCCCCGCTGGTTGGGGTCCCTAAGGAATGTGGATATCTCCTTGGACACTATGGAGTGTGGAGTGCTTAGAGACATGAGGGCATCTGTTTAAAGTAGAAAGAAGTTACCTTAGCCGGAAAGCGCTGTGCAGGGTGAGTGGTGGTTGGCTTCCCTCACCCTGGGCTCTCAGCCTGTCCTAACCCCCGTGCTCTTCTCCCAGAGGGAACCCAGGCCCTTACACCTACCTGGGCTCTCAGTTCAGTCTGGTTTGCCTGTCAGGATGGAGACCAGTGCTGTTCAACAAAAACGCAGGGTGAGCCATGTACCTACCGAGCCACATTGCACAGGTTATTAATCCTTGGGTCTAATCCAGTGTGCCCAGAGGAGTTCATTTCGTGGCATTGGTTCATTAGCTACAAGTGGCTATGTTAGACAAGGTAGGTCCCAACTAATCCTGCCGGGTCCAGGCCTAGTCTAGAGCCAGTCTCCAAGAGACTAGCTGGTGATTAGATGTCTCATTGGGGCTAAGCAAGACTACATTGCTGTCAGCTCTCCATTAAAGACACCAGATGACGCCAGGTGCCAGTAATGTTCATGCCTGTAATCCTAGCTACTCAGGAGGCTGAGATGTAAGGATTGAGGTTTGAAGCCTGGGAGGAAAGTCCATGAGACCCTTATCTCCAATTAACCATGAGAAAACTGGAAGTACAGCTGTGACTCAAGTGGGCAAGCACGAGCCTTAAGCACAAAAGCTCCAGGATAGCCTGAAGTGGAGCTGTGGCTCAAGTGGTGTAAGTACTAGCCTCGAGGAAAATAAGATCAGGGACAGCACCTGAGCTCAAGCCCCAGGACCGGCACACAAAGACACAGGTGGAAAACAGGGTTTCTGAATTTCTGTTACCTTTGCGGCTTTACTGCTTGTTGTGCCTTGCTATAGAATGTGTGCGTTCGTGTGTGTGTGTCTGTCTGTCTGTGTGTGCGCGAGCTCTGAGAGAAAGCTCCTTGAAGGCTTCTTTCACCTCCTAAGCAAGAGCCCAGAGAACATTCCAGACTGCCCCTGGCAGCCTTTCCCTAGCTGCTTGGGAACTGAAGTCAAGATTCTTCTCCGTGTTTCTAGATTTTTTTTTTTTTTTGGCAGCAAACCTCAATTAATCACAGCCTGGGGTGTTTTTGCTTGCTTGCAGACCACATTTCTGCAGCGTGACGATACATCAGATGCGCAGGCATGTGAGCCGGGAGGTCTCCGCCCCAGGAATTCAGCGGGAGATGATTAAGAGGTTCCTAATGGTCCCGAGTGAGCTTTAATGTTCAGAGATTTTTCTTTTTTTTTTTTTCATGATACCTGCAAGTCAGGAGCCACCAGCTGGGCGGGTGGGAGGCCCCTCCTCCACCTGTGGGGTATGGCAGGTTTTCTGAGCACAAGTAGACAGGGGGTGGCTGCCCCTCCTTGACCCTTGTTCCCATCTCAGGCTTGGAGGGGTGGAATCGCCCTTCTCCCCCACACTCATGTCCGTCTCCAAGCTGGGGCGGGGGAGGAGGGGTGCATGGGGTCTTGGGGATGGCTGTTGCTGACTTGCTATGTGACCCAGACGAGTTACTTCTCTTCCTGGACCCATGGGGAAGGAAGGAGGACTAAGGGGGGGACTTTGGGCTCTGGTTGGGGGTCCCTGCCCCAGGAGTCCTTCTCCCCATGAGAGGATGCTGGTGTGTTCTTTTCCCTGTACCAGCCCAGCCCCTGCCCAGCTTTCCCGCGCCTGCAAGCTGACCGCTCAGCTCCCATGCCACTAGTGGTGGGTGTCCCACTTGAGTTCTTGGCTTTTGGGTCTGAGCCGACCTCCCCCTCCCCAGCCTGTTCCCTCCCCCATGCTTTTACTGAGGTAACCCTGGCCTTGGGGGAGGAGGGGCCTGGACCCTACAGTTGGCCTCCCTCACTCCTGTCCACCTGGAGTCTCTTCATCCTTTGTGCTTCTGCCTGCTTGCTTCCCCTTCAAGACCAAGCTCCAGTGTTCCCTCCCTGTGTGTCCCTTGGCTTATTTATTCAGTAAGGACCCTACCACAAAAAAATGGAAACACCTTGTGTTTATTGAGGAAGGTAAGCGTGAAGCCAATACTTTGACGCTTGAGTCTGCAGGTGGCAGGCCTTAAGTTGTAGGTGCCAGCCGGGCGCTGGTGGCTCACGCCTGTTATCCTAGCTACTCAGGAGGCTGAGATCTGAGGATGGCGGTTCAAAGCCAGCCCGGGCAGGAGAGACCTTGAGACTCCTATCTCCAATAAACCACCAGAAAACTGGAAGTGGCGCTGTAGCTCAAGTGGTAGAGTGCTCGCCTTGAGCTGAAGAGCTGAGGGACAGCGCCCAGGCCCAGAGTTCAAGCCCCACGACCGACAAAAAAAAAAAAAAAAAAGTTGTAGGTGCCTTGGGCCTGCTCGCGTGGCTGGGTCCTGCCCGCATGGCTCCTCTCCCCCTTCACAGCGCTTGTTTCTCTGGTGGGTGGAGCCTGGCCCCAGCCACTTTTGAGGTCCTCAGTAAACATTGATTGAATGAGTGGTGACTGGCTGGTCCACCTGTAGTCCTCTGGGGATGGGTTGTCTTGACCTGGGGCCATGTTGTAGGTGTTAATAGAAAGATCCCAGGCAGTGGCTACAAAGCCCGGAAGTTGTGTTTGGTTTCCAGGTAGCAGTAGTTGGAGCATGTACTGCGTGCAGTCAAGCCTGCAGAGCTGGTGTGTGTCACATCCGCACTGTGACCCACTGCTTGTGCTGGCACCTCTCACCAGGGCAGGACTGACAGGCCACATCGCTCTCCTTCCTGGACACCTGTCTGGGACTTGCACCTGCTATCTAGTTTGTCCGTGGTTTGGTGTCCCCTGCATCTCAGTTGATTTTTTTTAAAGTGTATTTATAGAGTGAACTTTAGTCCTTGCATACAGTAATGAGGGTTTGGATCAGTCCCCTGATCTTGGTCCTGCCATGTCACCATGACACCATGACAGGAAACAGTTGTGTCACCCCCATTTCTCTGGGGCTGCCCCTTCATAGTTAAGTGCTGCACTACTACAAACCCTGGAAATCCTGCACTACTACAAACCCAGGTTTGTTTTTACTCTTGTAATTTTGCCTTTTTAGTGTGAGGCCTTTAGAGTATGGCTCGCTCCTTCCTTCCTTCCTTCCTTCCTTCCTTCCTTCCTTCCTTCCTTCCTTCCTTCCTTCCTTCCTTCCTTAGCTTTTTTGCTCAAAGCTAGCATTCTACCATTTGAACTACAGCTAAACTTCTGGCTTTTTGCTGGTTAATTGGAGATAAGAGGCTAATGGACTTCCCTGCCCAGATTGGCTTTTGAACCATGATGCTCAGAGCTCAGCCTCCTGAGTAGCTAGGATGACAGGTTTGAGCCATGGTGCCTGGCTTCAAATCTGACTTCTTTGCTTAGATTGTGTTTAATGTTCACACATAGGAATAGTTTGGTCCTTTTTATGACTGAATAATATCCCATTGTGTGGGAAACTTGGTTCTCATGCACCAAGTGTAAGGTATTCTGTATTGTTGGCAGGTTTGGGGCAAGTCAGTAAATCCTTTATTAATATTCACATGCAGAATTTTTTTTTGTCAGTCGTGGGGCTTGAACTCTGGGCTTGGGTGTGTCCCTTAGCTCTTTAGCTCAAGGCTAGCACTGTATCACTTGAGCCACAGCACCACTTCTGGTATTCTGGTGATTTTTTGGCGATAAGAGCCTCATGGACTTTCTTGCCTGGTCTGGCTTTGAACCTTGATCCTCAGATCTCAGACCTCTGAGTAACTAGGATTACAGGCGTGAGCCACCAGTGCCTGGCTACATGCAGAATTTGGTGTGAATCTTTATCTTTAGTCCTCTTAGATGTATCTGTAGGCATGGGGTTGCACACTTGGTAGGTGTGCCCTTAACTCCAGAGGGAATCCTTAAGCTGCTTGTGAAGTAACTGCTCTATTTTGTTTGTCTAGCTGAGGTTTATGGAAGTTCTACTTGCTCTACTTGATATTATATTAACCATTCTCACCAAGGTATTATTCAGGGTTTTTGTTGTTGATGCCAGAACAGGGACTTGAATTCAGGCCTCATACACTTGCTCAGCACTTTCACTCAAGACTGGCACTAGACCATTTGAGCCATGTTTCCATTTATGGCTTTTTTTTCTAGTTAATTGGAGATAAGAGGCTCTTGGATTTGTCTGCTAAGGTTGACTTGGAATATTGGTTCTCAGATCACAGCCTCCTGAGTAGCTAGATTATAGGCGTGAGCCACTGGTGCCGAGCTCATTTGGTGTTTGACTTGCAGTTCTCCTTGTATTTTCTTAGGTGCTGGCAGAGTTTAAATGTGATTGCTTAATGTATTTTGGCCAGGACCTTGTCCATACCTCTGTAAGACTTGGTCTCCTCAGATAGAACTTACAGGTTCTCAGAGGGACTCAGTTCTTCTCAAACACTTATCTTGTGTCATTCTCTCAGAATTTAAAAAAGATTTTTCAACAGGTATCAATGGCTTACACCTGTAATCCTAGCTACTCAGGAGGCTGAGATCTGAGGATCACCACATTTGAAGCCGACCCAGGCAAGAAAGTCTATGATACTTTTATCACCAGCAAACCACCAGAAAACTGGAAGTGGTACTATGGCTCAAAGTGATACTGTGTTAGCCTTGAGCAAAAGAGCTCAGGGATAGTGCCAAGGCCTTGAGTTCAAGCTCCATGACTCTCCCTCCCCTCCCCCCAAAAAATTGCTGTTTGCAAAAGCTTTTGATCCTGCAAGGGACATTTCCTTGATGTCCTTATGGTTCCTCTCCCAGTCTGGACTCAGACATAATATTTGAAGCTCTTCCTCCTGCTGTCAGCCTAACCCTTCCTTTCCCTCCCTCTTGTAGGCCCCCAATCGCCAGCTCATGACTTACTGGCTACAGGAGCTACAACAGAAGAGATGGGAATACTGCAACAGCCTGGACATGGTGAAGTGGGACAGCCGGACCTCGCCGACGCCTGGGGACTTGCCTAAGGGTCTTGTTGCCCGAGACAACACTGGTGAGGCACAGATTCAGGGCCCTGGAGCTGTTCTTTGTGTATAGTGATTTGACATAGCAACTCAGCTTAGCCATGAACACTAGCGAATGGACGGTCCAAAGCTGCTCAGTGCTTCCAGGTTCGAAGGAATTCTCAAGCTGGCCATGGCCTTGGTGTTAGGCAAGGCCAGAGCCAAGCATCTCATAGTCCTGGTGGAGGCCAATGTGCATAACTGAAGTTAGGCCCCACACTGGATACCTGCAGCTCTTAACTGTGCGCCGGCTATCTTTCTGCAACACCCCAGGATGAAATGTGCTGATAGATTCACACCTGGGGTTGCAGGCACCGGGACGGGGGTCCCCAAAGCCTTCTGCTTGGGGTTCTCTAGTGCTGCTTAGGGTAAACTTCACCCCTAAGCACTGATTTCATTTTAGCCTGGATTCTTAGCTCTTTCATAACTCAGAAATTCCTTGTAGCATAGAGGTTATGCCCTTTTTGTATGTGTATGTTGCTATTAGAGCTTGAACTCAGGGCCTGTCTCTGTACCTGCCTTTTGCTTGAGGCTAGCACTCTACCACTTGAGCCACAGCACTACTTCCAGCTTTTTCTGAGTAGCTGATTGGAGATAAGAGTCTTACAGACTTTCCTGCCCAGACTGGCTTTGAACCACACTCCGAAGATCAGAGCCGCCTGAGTAGCTAGGATTACAGGTGTGAGCCACTAGTACCTGGCTGATTTTTTTTTGTCTTTGTGCTGGTACTGGGGCTTGAACTCAGGGGCTTGCACTCTTGCCTAGATTTTTGTTCAAGTCTGGCACTCAACCGCTTGAGCCACAGGTCCATTTCTGGCTTTTTGCTGGTTCATTGGAGATTGTCACAGATTGCCTGGGCTGGCTTTGAACTCAATTCTCAGATCTCAACCACCTGAGTAACTAGGATTACAGGCGTGAGCCACGAGTGCCCAGTGTTCAGTGTAGGCTTTCTAACATGTTTTGGAAGACAGGTAGTCTGTACTCAGGAAGCTATTGGGCTCCATAGAGCACTGGGCCATACCAAGAATGGAGTCGGCACGTTGGCTCTTGTTTTGTCCTAAAATCAAATGCTTTCTTAGACATTTTCCCTGTCCAGATTTGCCAGTCTTGCTTTCACTAGTCACAGCTTTTTTCATCTGGTCATCCTGGCAGTGAGGAATCTTTTCTAGTTGCTCTGACTCCGTCAGCAACTGAAGTGAGGCCTTCGTGCTTCAGTTTACTCCTTGTCTGTGCATCAGAAATTGACTCGATGCTGATGTTGATTGAGGCCACAGAATCTGGGCACCGGTGGCTCAGGAGGATTAATCCTAGAAGGATTAAAGCTGAGATCTGAGGATCACAGTTTGAAGCCAGCCCATGTGGGCTGGCCATCTCCAATAAACTACCCAGAAAAAGTCCAAAATGAAGCTGTGGCTCAGGTCTCAGAGCACCAGCCTTGAGCAAAAGAAACTCAGGAACAGCACTCAGAGCCTGAGTTCAGACCCAGGACCTGCACACACACACACACACTCACAAAAAGGCCACTTTGAGCATGCTGAGTCTAGGAAGCCAGAGCATGTGTGTCAAGTCCACAGCTGGATAATCTGGGGAACTGTAGGTATGTCATGCATCCTTTGCTTCTCTAGCCAATCAGGCCTCGGGAGGGCATTTCATGGTCAGCAGGCTGTTGAAGAAGGAAAGGAGGATGAGAGGGAGAAATACAGGCTCCTCTGACCCCCAGCACGGGCTGAATTCGGCTCTGGGATGTGGGAGCCTCTCTACGGATGCAGTGACTATGAGTTAGCCAGATAAAGAGGCAGGAGGATAATGAGATGGGAAAGCTGGAGGTCACAGTGCCTGTGAGCCAAGCCAGAGGTCCAGCAGGCCTGCAACGGCCCTGGCAGAGCCTGATGGCCAGCCCTGGGAAGTGGGGCTTGGTCTGGAGCGCAGTGGATTGCCTTTGAAGACTGTGTGCGCAGAAATGAGACTTAAACATCTGTCAAGTTTTCAGAGGCTTCTGTGGCCAAGTAATGCAACTCTGGGCCACTGGGCCCATTTCAAGGCCACAATGCAGGAAGTGCAAAAGCAGGAAGTAAAGAACAAAAGGCTGCCAGGTGTTGGTGGCTCACGCTTGTCATCTTAGCTACGCAGGAGGCTGAGATCTGAGGATTGAGGTTCAAAGCCAGAACATGCAGGAAAGTCCATGTGACTCTTATCTCCAGTAAACCACTCAGAAAACTGGAAGAGGTGCTGTGGCTCAAGTGGTAGAGCGCTAGCCTTGAGCTGAAGAGCTGAGGGACAGCGCCCAGCTCCAGAGTTTAAGCCCCACCACCACACAGAAAGAAAGAAAGAAAGAGAAAAAAAGGAAGAAAGGGAGGGAGGAAGGGAGGGCTGAGCCTTTTCATTTCATTATCAGAGAGAAACTGGTTGAAACAAGCCATGCCCCCAGCCCTGATAGGATGATAACATTTTGAGAAGGTTTAGATTAATTTCTGCTTCAGTGAGCAGGAAACCTGGCTCGTTTACAAACATGGTTTTGTCAAGCTTTTGGGCAGTTGATAGGCTAGCACAGCAACTCACTGGTGCCATTGAGGAACCCAGGCTGCTCCTGAGTCAGTGCTATGTCCTTTGAGCCTGCTGGCTTTCCTACTCGCCTCAGTGACCCTAGGGGTAGCTCCTAGATCAGAAAGAAAATGGTACCCAGAAGCCTGTGGCTTGTGCATCACTGGCTTGGATTCTGTTGTGTGGGGATGGTGATTCCTCAGGGTCATGTCCCCTGACAGCAGGGAGTCTGGGCAGCCAGTTTCTGCTGAATGCATGGCCACTATCCAAAGGAAGGTTTCAAGTCAGGAAATGCTGGAATAAGTACTTGGTAGTGAACTGCAGTGTCACAGAATTGCCTGCATTTCTGGGCTCTCTAAAAGGCATGTCATCAGAGCAAGAGACAGCTATCCGTGTGGTTGGAAATTCAGCTCTGTGTGTGTGTGCGTGCATGCGTGTGTGCGCATGTGTGTGTGTGTGCGCGTGCGTATGCACGCACCAATACTGGGGCTTGAACTCAGGGGCTTGGACACTATCCCCTACCTCCTTTCTCACTGTAGAACTCTCATCACTTTAGTCGCAGTTCTACTTCTGGCTTTTTAGTGGCTAATTGGAGATAAGTCTCATGGATCCAGGTTCTGGTGGCTCATGCCTGTAATCCTAATCTGAAGGCTAAGATCTGAGGATCACAACTCAAAGTAAACCCAGGCAAGAAAGTCTATGAGAGTCTTTTTTTTTTTTTTTTGGTCAGTCATGGGGCTTGAACTCTGGACCTGGGCGCTGTCCCTCAGCTCTTCAGCTCAAGGCTAGTGCCCTACCATTTAAGCCACAACACACTTCCAGTTTTCTGGTGGTTTATTGGCGATAAGAGTCTCACAGACTTTCCTGTCTAGGCTGGCTTTGAACCATGATCCCCAGATCTTAGCCTCCTTGTAGCTAGAATTATAGGCGTGAGCTACTGGCACCTGGCTCCGTGAGACTCTTATCTCTACTAAATTACCAAAAATAGCCAGAAATGAAGCTGTGGCTCAAGTGGTAGAGCACTAGCTTGAGCAAAAAGAAGCTCAAGAACAGAGCCCAGGCCCTGAGTTCAAGCCCCAGAACTGACACTACCCCCACTCCAAAAAGAGAGTCTCATGGACTTTCCTACCTACGCTGGCTTGAAATTGTGATACTCAGATCTCAGCTTCCTCTGTAGGATTATAAGCATGAGCACCGGTGCCAGACTGTTACACTTGTAGCAGCTAAATAGAGGTGGGAGAGGGGAGGAGATGATAGTTGCTCCTCTCAGGCTTACGCAAGGTTCTGAGCAGAACACGGAGCTGCAAGATGGAGACATTCCAGTGATAGCCAGAGGCAGCTTTGGCAACGGCATAGTAGTTGAGTGTCATCTTTTAATGCCATGATCACGTGCCAGATCACAACAGGGGAAGAGCTTGTGAAATGCTACAGAATGCCACTCGATATTTGGAGACACGAGTGATGGTGGTCACCATTTCCCCATGCCTTGCTGAAGAAAGATTAGCACCTGAATGCATGTCCTCATCCCCAAAGCAATTTGCTGTCTGGCCAGGTCCTTCTGGGGACCAGCTGCAGAAGAGGCTGCGGAGGGGGACAGTGGGGAAGTGATGCCTGGCTAAGACTAGCTCATCTTGGGTGGGCCTGATGGAAGCCCAATGGGGAAGGCTCTGAGACAGTGTGAGCAGGTGGGGTGCGGCCCCATGGGGACGTCAGAGCCAGATCTGGGTGCAAGGTCTGCTTTGAGCTAGAGCAGTGTAGGATGGGAAGAGGAGGGGAACCAAGGAGTCCAGTGTATAACACCCTCCCCCCCAATTCAGGGAGCTTGTTGGAAGGTATCAGGAGAGAGGCAGTCAGGAAAGGACTGTGAAGTTCTGCCATTAAGGACCGTTGAGGCCCCTGCTGTCTCCCGCCAAATCCTCTGAGTCCACAGATGGTCTATCCTGTGTGCTGTGTTATGGAGTACCATCTGCTACCCATTCATTCAGCCCTGTTGCCCAACAGACCGTGTGCCAAGTGTGAGGTCTGCAGCTGGTAGAGAAGCAGGGGGATTCTGGTGCTCAGGCAGGGAACAGAAGGCACACACTGGCGTGCCAGGCAAGCTGGCCCATCTGGGGCTCTCTTTAGATGCCTACCAGGTCCTCACTTGGGCAATCTCTCTGCTTCTCTTCTTCCTCCTCCTCTTCCTCCTCCTCCTTTTCCTCCTCCTTTTCTTCCTCCTCCCTTCTTTCTTCTTTTTTTTGTTGTTGTTGACCATAAGGCTCAACTCTGGGCCTGGGCACTTTCCCTCAGCTCTTCAGCTCAAGGCTAGCACTTTACCTACTTGAGCCACAGCGCCACTTCCAGCTTTTTCTGTTTATGTGGTGCTGGGGAATTGAACCCAGGGCCTCATGCATGCTAGGCAAGCGCTCTACCACTGAGCCACCTTCCCAGCCCCTCATGCCTACTTGTT